TGGGATGACTACAGTGAATGACTACAGTGACTACTGGAATGACTGGGAAGAGTGCAGTGAAAAGCAACTAGGATGGCAAATGGGATTGGCGACTTAGAATGTAGGGATGGACTTAAGGCCCTGGATTTGTATTCACTGAAATATAGTAGACTTAGACGGGATCTGATACAGGTATACAAGATTATGAAAGGCACAGACGAGGTGGATCTACATGAACCACTGGAAATTAGACCAGAACATAGAGGAAGCCGGTTCCATTTGACAAAAGCTAGGAATAGAGCTATGAGGGTGCAAATGTCATTAAGTCAAAGAGTAGTGAACCGTTGGAATGGGTTGACAAAAAAACTGTGGGAGCTCCTCTATAGCAGCTTTAAAAAATCGTTTGGATGTGTTCTATCGGTCTAAAGATCTCATTTATAGCTAAATCCATGCAAGCCAGGTGGTAAGATGGGTTTGGAGAATGTGTATAGAACCTGAGATAGGCCAACTTCGATGGACTTTGTGGCTCTTTGTTGGCCAGATGTTTTCATGTCTTTATGTTTCTGTACACATAGAATTAATAACAAAATATCCACAAATACTGAGACCTGTCCCAAAAAAATGCGGCCGACAGGCGGGCATTCAATGCCTGAAGCAGTACAGAACGCAAGACACATAATCCATCGGTAACGAGAGGGGACGAGGCTGGTTGCCGTCAGCACCCGGGTAAGGACGGGGTCGGTGGCTGTCAGCGTCCGGCGCCACACGTCGTGTACCGCCTCATGTTTCTGGCACGCAGCCGGCTATCAGCTGCTCGGGCCCGCTGACCGCCGGTGTGTCGCCGCCGCCGTCCGGCCGGCTCGCGTGGTGCGGCGTCTCCGCCATGGTCAGCAGCAGCAGGCTGATGTGACCGGCAGCATCGTGGGCATCGCGCAGGCCATGCCCATGATGCCGCCTGGAGAGATAAGATAGACGTCATCGTCCTCATCTCCGGGCTTCAGCGGTGAGGCAGGATGGGTAAGGTCATCAGCGATATCTTGTCAGGCTGGGTCAGTACAAACCGCGGCAACAACGGTGGCTACCCTACGACCATATCTCAATTAGCCGAATGGCCAGCAACGCGCGAATGAAATATGGGAGGAATACCGCTGGACTACAGTGCCATGCAAGTGATACCACAAACCACACGGTAATCACTCACATCTCGCCAACTGCCCCATCCGGTGAACTGATAAAGACAGCCCCAACGCAAATTCCAGGACACATATCCCAAAGCACTGAAAAGACATGAAGTGAACAGCAGAGCGGGATCAACAAAAACGTGGTCATACACAACAGTACGGCAGAAAATCGATGTTATGCTTTGTTGAACCCTGGCATTTTTATTGTTGGGACACCTCCTTACATTTTGTTATAGAGGATTGTACAACAACTGTTGCACTTTTTCCTTGAAATCGTCCTGCCTGTGTGACATACGGTTGTGGCTATTAGTCATGCCAGTCGCAAACATTTCTAGGGGGAAATTGAAATGTCTCAGAGCTCTGAATAAAGCGAGAAACTCTGTCCTCCAATAGTCAGAGCTTTCAGCACATTAGGCGTGGCTTAAACTCTCCATGTTCTTCAGCATGAACCGACATCTAAGGTCATTCGTGGCAACGAATAGGTATAGGTCATTGAATTAATCATAATTTGGCCAATGGCTCAAGCGTCGTGGCAGATTTTTGCTGCTAGGTAACTCTGAGGCCGCGGTGCGATATCAAATCAGCATTCACTGCCATTTCCGGATGATTGCTGCCTGAAACTTGATTGCTTCTAAAACCTTGGCCTTTGTGAAGCCTCACTACAACCACATGCCCCTCTGGATACTCACGGTCATTTTAGCCGCACAGGTCCCATTTCGCCGCTGAAAAGTCATCAGGGTACCAAGGTGCACATCTGTTGGCTTCAAAAAAGGTTAAAAGTTATGCATGACTTATATTCCAGGCTATAGAAGCAATAAGCTAGAATGCTCCGGCCACTGTGAATGTAGAGCCAGTGGCTCTGGTAACATCCGGGAATGTGGACACCATACTTGTGCTTTAAGTGGTCGGAGGAAGTCATGTCCCACAGAATTAAACCTGGGTTGCTATGGTAATAAACCCCAGATTCTGCTTCCACACAGTGATGGCGTGTTCAAGGGTTGGATCTGGTCGGTGTCGCGCCCCATTCTAGGATCCCGAGGTGGAAAAGAGATAATTGTAATTGTGTATACACCTACAACCTAAGATATCATATTCGCAAGATCAATCGCGCGTACATGTCGCTATGCAGAGCAGATGGTTTTCATATAGAAGACAAACCACCATGATGTCGCATTCTGCACGAGGTACAATGGGCATGGCGTGAAGGTTGTTCAGTGCACAGGAATACAGGAATGGACAGGAAAACGAGGCAGATGTTTGACTTCCAATATCAATCAACCCGTGTTGATAAACGCTGTACCGTGGCTTTGAGGCAAATGAAAATTATGGTGTGCAATATCGACGCCAAGTGCATGGGTTCAGTATGGGAGCCTTGGATATGGCTGCATGGCATGCAAACATTTATATGGGGTTTTGAACTGAAATAGCCATCTTGAAGATCTTCTGGTGCTATTTACAATTCTGCCCTTCTTAAGACACAAGTTCCTCCAGTTTCTGAGGTACGCGAAAATGGGGAAATGTTTTTTCAGGAAGAGTATCTCAGTCGCCTTGGCATTCATGGCGTCATAACAACGTCAATTCAAATCTTGCCCTTCCATAAGCCATGCCACGAACAGGGCAAAACATCTATAATTGTCGAGGCGTTCATATCTGGCGTTTGAGAGCGCAATTTCCAGAGACAACAGCCGTCAACTAGCTCTCAGTCAATGTGCAAAGTACGATGACGTAATCCAACCATGACGCATTGTGTGGGATGTTTACTAATAGATCATGTTTGATAACAGAATCGTGCTGCTTAGAACAGTCTTTTCCGCTGTAAAAGTATCTCAGTAGTCATAAGTAAGCTCGTTTCATGATGTCTGATGCGTGCTTCAATATCTTCGGGTGTAAAACATTCTTTTTAATTCCGGCTTTTTTACCAGGTGGTGGGATTCCTGCTCCAGTGGATGGGGATGAATGCTTGCCATTGAAGAGATTTTTGCCTTTTATTCAAGATGGATGCACTGCGCTGGAAGCGCTGCGCGTGCACCAATCGCCTCAAACACACTGAATCAATTAAAAATGAACCCTACCACACGAAACCGCAACTCACGCAACGGAAATGACATCGCACTACGCACGCTCACCAATGCACCTAGCACGCAGACCCGAACACTTCCAGCAGCCGACTCAGGCGAGCTGGGAACCGGGCCGACAGGTCTGCTGACTCCGGGTCTGGCCCGGCCAGATCTGGCGGCCTGCGGGCCGGACCGTTTGTCCTGCGCGCTAACCTGTTTGGGGAGCACAGCCACTTGTCTCGGGCCACGAAACGCGACGGGCCAAACGGCGGGTGGCCGGGCCGGTATTCGGCCGGCCTGGTTAGTGTGTAACCGGCACGGCCGGCTGTGTTCCTTCCCTCCGGGAAATCGACCACTCGACCCTGGCCGAAGTCGCCCGTGCGGGCCAGAGTGGTCGCAGACTTGGGCCAGGGGCAGCCGAGTGCTGTTCTGTTCGAGTGTCGCCTTTTTGGGGCATGTGGGCTCAAATGAGGGCGTCTGTGCAGGTCCTAACAAAGTCCAACAAGTTGTTGAGTGGCCACTGCCGAGAAAACAAAAGGACTTAGCAAATTATTTGGTCTGGCATAATTTTTCTTAAATATGTTACGCTTGGCATTTTCAGCTGCATTAGTTATAGCAAAGTTGTTGACAACAACTAACAGCTAACTTAGAAGTAAGTTATTTCAACGGTTCGCTGTGAAATCGAGCGAGGTTCCTGTTGCGCATATCCCTGTTGTGCAATGGCATTAAACGGTAGAGCGCAAGTCTCCGGGCCGCTGTTTGCCATGATGTCCAGCACAATTGGCTACATGTAGCCCATGTTGACATGAGCCCAGCTTGCTCACATGTGGTCCATATGGATCTCATCAAGGCAAGCTTAATGCGTCCTCGTAAATTATTTCTTATTGTCGTGATGAATTCCCATAGGACAGAACAAGGCACGAGCATTTATGATGCATGCGAAAATATGACGTAATGTGAGCGCCCCATTTGGGGCACGGCTGGAGCCCAGATAATAGCCCACCTGTAGTCCATGCCCACCTTAGTATGGTTGCCCCACGTTTAGCCAAGGTGGGTCCCATTTGGAAATGCTCGCTGGGCTGTGAGGATCAGTCTGCTACGTTTTAAAAGTCCCGGGGGCGTGTCTCCCACGTCTCCCACGGCATCGCCACCGTGGAAGCAGGGCTGTAGTTCCCTGTTTAGTTGGGAGCTGGGGTACTAAATTGGAGGAAGAATTCGTCTTTGGTGGTTTGCCATTTCCCCATGCAGTACACGACAATCAACGGGATTCGCTTAGTCATTTTTCCGTTGCAGTACACCAAAACTAAGGTGAAAACAGACCCTGAGTGGTAGGCTGCCGTTCTTGTGGTTGAGTGTTGTAATTTCAGGGCTGAGACTATGTCTTGAATCAAAGACAACTTTTGCCATCCGCATGCGTCATGTTAAGTGAAATGGTCCATATTCTAAGCAAAGCAGGGAACATGTTTCTAAAATCATCCAAGCCTACAATTTTAGCAGTAGATTAGTAGCATTCATGGGACTTACCGTTTTATTGCGCCACCTTTATGGCGCGATAAGCTCAAAACTGGAACTCGTACGCCAATGTATAATAACCCACACGTATCCACGTGGTATGTGAGCGGCAAGTGCCAGTGTGTTATGCCCAGGATCTAGTCTGAGTGGCAAGAGGTAGTTACGAGAGGGGCTGCGAGCTATGTAAGTTTTACTTGAACTAAGAAAAGAATGCAACGTTAAACGTAGGGGGGTTCATCCGGCCCATATCGGCTGTTCTCTGCCAACGAGGATGTCTGTAGGTTTGTATTTATTGTGGGTTAATTAGTGGATAGCATCCCAGTTTTCCTACATACTTAACCACGTGATATGAACAATATCATAAATCTTCAAAAGAGCCACAGGCCAGCACAATTGTGTGATGCGCAGCTGCTGCCACAGAGCCATGGACGACGTGGATGAGCCACCGCCTGGACCGGAGCTCTTCGAACGTGGTCTGCTGACAAGAATGCAGCAACAACTGAAAGGCAACAGTCATAAGCTGCAAAGATATACCAAAGCTTTGGCTGCCTTGGACTGGGATGAGGTACAACCACATTTTTAATTTCTTTTTATCACCCTTCCATTACTTATGCTAGTCACTGATCATGACTATATTAGACTTCCCATCAACACAGCATTCTCACTGAAGTGAGGTAAAAGAGCCCTCATCACTTTTGTAACTAGGTACAACCACATTTTGCCATATCCTTATCTTTCCTTTCCATTGCTTATGTTAGTTGCTGATCATGCACATTTTGAACTTCCCGTGACCATAGTGTGCCCACTCACACATTCAAGAGATGCTGCCAATCATGGTTTCATTATATTCACAGCAGTAAGCTCAAGATGTAATGATGTTAAGGCATATGGCTGTTGCATGTGCTATAAAATGAGCCAGACATGGCTCTGGTTATGAAATAACCACACAGCTTATGAAGATGACATTGGTAGTTGCAGGCATAGATTTTATCAGCTTTGTAAGTGAAGGATTCCTCAATAAATTTTGAGCTTATTGTAGACCTCTTTCACATCTGAAGGGGTCTTTAAATTTTTATGGAGCATCATTATCTTTAAAAAAGAAGTCCTGAATTTATGAATAAAACTTGCCTCATTTCAAAGAGATCTGTTAACTTGCAGAGAGGGGCCCAGCAACTGGATTTACCATATGGCTTGTAGAAAGCTCGAACACTGACAAGATGCATTGCAGTTTCCACATGCTTGTGTATGAAGCAGCCATGTGCTATGTACTATTGCAGCTGCCAACAGGTGGATGTGTCATGGTTATGCTACCTGCATGACCACCATTTGTGCTGCAGTGTCTATGGCCACAGGCAGGTGACATCCACAAGGGCTGCCCCATCCCAGCTGGCAGGTGGCTACTGATACTGCAGCTTCTGTGGCCACCAACATGTGGCAGTGACGCAACATTTCCTGTCGCCAGGTGGCATTTGATGGTCACTCGGCGGAGGAGTGTCAACAGCGCTGGGGGGAGATCCAGTCCCGGCTGCGGCTGCACCGCTCATTGCCTGAGCTTCTGGATGATGCCCTCGCCTCACGCTGGGACCCAAACCGTCTCCGGAAGTGGGAGCATGTGAGTGTGCCCATAACTTTTCATTCCTGATGGTGATGAACAAGCAACCATGCAACAATATGACTGTTTTGCAAATTTTCAAGGGGTGTTCCGTTTGGGAGGTTATATTTAGGCCAGCATCAAATATGATGGAAAAGCTTTCTTCTCAATGATGGCATGCTTAAAAGTGTAAAAGACTGCTCTATGCCACACAATCTCACTGTTGGGTGAACATGCTTTTCCATATGCCATTGCTTGATTATGTTTGTGACGTTTTAGGACATCAGAGTTACTGCCAAACTGGCTGCGTCAGAATTGCCTGTAGCAGTGGACGGAAAACTCAGTTTGATTACTTCCACTCACTGTAAGGTGGCTCGTTCATTTATACATATCAGATCCACCGATGATTCGTATGTGCACGTGTTTTGGTCCTTTCCCGTGTTGTTGTTGTATGCTCTTCATTGATGGCATGTTTCTTCGCACATTTGCATTTTCGGTTACAGCGCTGTTCATGAGCTTTTCGATTGTCATCCTCATGTCTGTTATGTTTATGGTGTGTTTTATTTGAATGCCAATTGCAAAAAGGCTGTGACATGTAGCGAATAACACTCTAATAAGTCTTTGACGCATTAAAAAAGAAAAAAATTGCGTAAAAATTTCCACGGGCAGATAATCTCGGAAAATTGTCCGGAATGTGGGAAAATGTTTCGGATCGAGGGACAATCCCGGGAAATTTTCAGAGCGTGGTTAACATTGAGAATCTTTTTCGCTCTGCATAGCTATGAACGTTGGCTGTGCATGGGGTCTGGGAGACTTATCTCAGGATAATTTCCGGACCTGTCGTGGGTAAATGGGCAATTTCCGTGGGTGATTATCGGAGAGATGTTAATTCATCGAATGATTTACCATCGGCCGAACACACTCTTTTGTACGGAAATTTTCAACAATACTTGCCAAATGGCACTTGCTTGCCTTTTGTAAGTCCTAACCTGCACTTTTGAAATTAGCATTCCAAGTGAAACACCCTGTAGTAGAGCCGGCCAAATGTTTGTATTTTGTTCCGCAAGACCTGGCTCGTGATAGAGATTTGCATTTAGCGCGTTAAACAAGGTGATAGCCAACTGTTGCATGTTTGTGCGAAGATTCGTGCTGGCCCACTCCAGACATAAATGAATGAATGGTCCTATCTATCTTGACCTTGGGCATAATATAACCATTGAGGAGGCGAAATTTGTGTGACGTTTCTATGACGTCACACATCTCGGGTTGATTTCCAATTACGCGGCGTGAAAAAGTATGCAACAGTATGCGTGCGGCTAGCCGGAAAGCAAAGGGATTTAAGGCCTTGAAAAGGGCATAACTGTGAATTGCGGTGAATAATCTTGAAAATGGTTGTATTCATTCCTCCATGCAAATGTTGACACCCCTGTAATGTAGCAGCGGGGATATTTGATATGCTTGTGTGCACGGGTGTGCACAAATTATGTCGTTCACTATATGCTTATTTACAGCACAAAATAGTGAAGACTGGTACCTGAACACTATGTCCCATATCCCACACAATAGTGAAGACCGGTACCTGAACACTATGTCCCATATCCCACACAATAGTGAAGACCGGTACCTGAACACTATGTCCCATATCCCACACAATAGTTGTTTGGTTTGCTACTTACATTATTATGCCATACACACTAAACTGGTTTCCTTTTTGAGCTCTGTTAATATCTCCACAAGACGTGTTGGTCCCATTCGTGTTAAAACCTATCAAAATTTGTTATCTGAAATGTGAGCTTTCAACCCGAATTCGGACGAAATTATATCACAAATTTACCAAGACAGCCTCAAGGCATTCATCCTCCGATCAGAAAGTGTATTTTATTGTCAAAGATTATGAAAAACTTCTTTTTTGAATCATTTGAATCATATCAGTTTGGATACACATGTTAAGCATTGCTACCAGCTTGGATCGTCGGGGTTAATAGACTTCGGAGAAAACAGTGCCCTGCAGACCTTGTATAGCTTTGCCAAATGTATTAGTGTGTGTGCAAACAATGTGTCTGTGTTATTCAGTTTACAAGCACGTAGGATATTTCTTATTAGATATAGGATATTATCAGATATAAGATATTATTAGATATAGGATATTATTAGATATAGGATATTTCTTAAATCGATTTAGTATGATTTTTTACAACTGACGCTTAAGCACATGGAAATGTTAAGCTGAACATAAGCCTAGATCATTCACTGTAATATACAGGCATTTCTGGTGTGCTGGACATCGATGAAAGGATCACAAAGCATACCGTCCAACATATTATGACATGTCACTCATAAGTTTTGGTTCAAATCATGCAGGCCTATGCAAAGTAGTCATATCATGAGCTATTCACAGCAGTCCTAACAGCCTACAATGGCTGAGGCATGGTCACTTCGGCAGATAGCATATGCCATGGGTGTTTTAGGACAATGTCATGTGCATGCTTTGACCTGCAGTGATAGAATAAAATGAAAAGTGTTATGCTTGTATTGACGTACACAATGTGAGGCCCTTTCATGTCATATAAGTCATGCTAGAATATATATATATATATATATATATATATATATATATATATATATATATATATATAATGCTCAATGCAACTTTAACCACCAACACTTCCAAAACAATTCAACAGAAGGTCGGTGGCGTGTTCTGTATGCCCCACATTCCAACCTCGGCATGCTCCGTGTTCCAAACGGTCCTCGGCGTGCGGGGCGTCCAGTCTTACCCATCCTTCCCCCTTCGCAGGACAAACTGTGCCTGGAGGGTGGGCCAGTCAAGCCTAAAACGCCCTTCATCATGTTCATGCACGACAAGCGCCCCAAGGTGATGAAAAAGCACCCGAACATGACGGCGCAGGAGCTCATGGGGTACCTCGGCCGCAAGTACTCGAACGACCCCGCGGTCAAGGCGGCGTACACGGAGAGGTACCAGGCGGCCATGGAGGAGTACCGGCAGCAGGAGGCCGAGTTCAGGTGAGCGACCGGGATGGCTGGCGCGCGCTCATGCCGCGCTGTTGAGTCATGGTCGGCACGTGGTCGTACCGAGTTGCTCCAGTTCGTGAGCGCGTGGCTGTAAAGCATCGCTCTGTGCCGGTCGGCGCGCGGTGATCTTGCAGTGCCGCGCGGTCGTGCACCGCTATGCGGTATCGGCACGTGGTCGCGTGGCATGACGCCTCCCATCAGATTGTCGCCGCGTGGCCACGTCACACCTCACTGCGCTTACTTATCAACAGGCGCGCAGGCGCCGCCAATAGGAGCGTCAGGTCCGCGTCAGGTCTAGTATAGTCTGGTCTGGTCTGGTCTGGTCTGGTCTGGTCTGAGCGGTCTAGTCTGGTCCGGTCTAATCTGGTCTGGTCTGGTCTGGTCTGGCCCTGGCCAGGTCAGGTCCGGGCCTGGTCTGGTCTAGTCTGGTCTGGCCTGGCCTGGCCTGGCCTGGCCCAGGCCCAGGCCAGGGTCAAGGTCAAGGCCAAGCTAAGGCTAAGTCCGGGCCGGGCCGGGCCGGGTGATGTCAGGTCAGGTCAGGCCAGGCCAGGCCGGATCCGGTCCGGTCCGGTCCGGTCCGGTCCGGTCCGGTCCGGTCCGGTCCGGTCCTGGCCGCCGAAGCGGAACGCGTGCCAGGTCCCGACCGCGCTGCGCAAGGCGGCGGGCGGCGGCCGGCGCGGAGCTCAGGCGTGCAGTTTCTCTGAGTTATTGGGGAGGTCTCGGCGAGGGGTGTGCGCGTCATTGGTATGCAAACCAGACTTACACGTAAGCTCACCGCACAGCTGGTAAATTGGGACACCTCTGCTGACTTGTCCTCCATCTCGTGATAACGCTGGGCCGGCAGTTAGTCAAGGGCTGCAGTCTGCAGCAGTGACGCGGACCGCGCGTGTGTGACATTAATGTGATTCGCAAAGGCTCGGCGATGTTTGTAGGTCACATGGCGAAGTGGCGGAGCGGTGACGACGCTTGGCTCCACACCGGGAGGTCGGGGTCTGTATGGTCCGTGGGATACTAACAACGCCCTGGTCGCCATGGACCACGACGACGGTGTTACCCGAGGTCGTTAGACACGTCCATCTGGCGTGTAAAGTGATGGAGGGGAGGATGCTCTCGGAGTTATGGCAACAGCTACACTCATTTAGTTTGAAACAGACCCGGCCTGGCAAACATGAAGTTGTTGTGTTGTCAGCGTCGCATCCCGTGACGTTGGTGGCGTGGGTCCGGGTTTTACGGAAGTTGGGAAGGTCTGCTAGCCTGTCAGCGTGACAGTCCTGCCTTTGTTATGAATCCACCAGATATGAAAAATTTAGACTCACGGCTTAGCAACGTAACTGAAACGTGTCGAAATGAGGTATGCACGCCAGGGCTGTTGAATCCGTATTCGCGCTGTTTACATCACATACGGCTTAAAGCCGGTCATTATCTGAGCTAAGATGCGTGGAGGTGGCGTGCGCTCGTTAGAACATACTTGAACGCCTGATAATACAATACATAGTCTTGTGTTATCGTATGCTCATCTGAAATACTCCGGGGTATGTGATTCGTACGCGTAACGGTATCAGCATGTTTTGTTGTGCGTTGTTTGGTGAAGCTATGCGAAGCATGCCATCGGTTTAAGAGCACTTGCTTTGACCTTGTGCCTCGTTAGTAGTTAAATAGAAAGAATTATTGTTATCTATTGATGTTTCAACCAAAAGTTCCCGTCGATACAGTTAATGCAAAAATCGAATACTTTAACGGAGTGTCCCACATTTGTATGCGGTTTTGAACTGAAATAGTTACCGTGAAGATTATTCGGTGAAGCTCACAGTCCTGTCTTTGTTAAGGCTTAAACCCCTCTAGTTTCTAAGCTGTACGCCGGTGGATATGTGCGCACTATTTCGGCGAGACTATTTCAAGCCCAGGTATCCAAGGCGCCATGATAACGTCGTTCAGATCATGCCGTTCCATTAGCCGTGCTGCAGTCAAGGCCAATACAAATATAATTGTCGAGTCGTTCACATCTGGGGTCTGTGAGCACGATTTTCAGGTAAAACGGGTGTCAGTTGGCTCCTTATCAATGTTGTGCAAGGTACGATGACGTAATCAGACAATGACGTATGGAAGAGCACATTTACTAAACAGACAAATTACGTTGTCCTGAGCAGTTTTTTTCTCACTAAAAGGCGTACCAGTAAAAAGACATACCTGATTTCATCATATATGATCCGTGCTTCAATATCTTCAAAGGTATAGCATTCCTTCAAATCGAAATATAAATGATTTGACACAGTTCACCTTCTCAGCTGCCAACGGGGAGCCAAACCAAGACTAGACCTTTGCTTTTTTGTTCATAATCAAAGATGATCTATTGCATTTCGCGATATGTGCGTTACATTTGTGAACGCCACCACATGCGCACGGTTCACGTTCGGAAGGTCCCTCGCCGCTGAGAGGAGGGAGCGAGAGTGCTCTCGGGCGCCCCCCCCCCCCCCCTCGAAGCCGAAGCCCTCTGCGACTTCTGCATGTCCCGCAGGAAGCAGCACGCCGAGATCATGGTGGATCAGCCGCCGAAGCGGCCGCTCACGCCTCTCCAGTGCTTCCGCAAGAAGAGGCCGGGGCTCTCGTACGCGGAGGTGCGCGTCGAGTTCGCCAAGCTCTCGGCGCCAGAGAAGGGCCGCTTCATTCGGCGGGCGCTGAGATCGCAGGAGAAGTACGACGCGGCCGTGGAGGCGTACCAGGCGAGTAATGGCGTGCCACCGCGGCGCGACGTGGCCCGCTAGTGGGAGGTCGGCTCTGGGCCGCGCTCAGCTGGGCCCAGGTGATAGGCTGCGCCGCCCGACGTTTGCCGCGGTCGGTGTGGCGGAGGTGGTGCGGCGTGCGAGGACGGCGGCGCGGTGGGAGGGGCTTAGCAAAAGGGGATGAAACGCAAGGTGACGCGTATCCTTAAACACATTGCTGACGACTCCGTGGTTGGTCATAGAGGCCCAGTTTACACGACTTAAAGGCACAAAATGCCCAGCATAAAGCCGCGTGCTCATCTGCACATTCGTCCCACTTAATGGGCTTATCTGGGCCAGGACACGGGGCCGGCGGGCGCGGCGGCACGAGACGTCGGCGGGCGGCCGGGCTGTCGCCGCGCTCGCCGACGGGCGAACATTAATCAGATACTAACGCCATGCTGGCTTCTCCCGCCGCTTGACCGCTTAACACTGCTTAACTACATGCACGGGCTAGCATGCACAAGTGGGGTCACTGACATCGCTACCTCGTCGACTGCAGGTGGTGATGGGGCCACTAATTTCGATCAGGCCTCGGGTCGTCAACACGGCACTTGGTCACGGGACAAAGGGTCGAGGGCGTGGGGCGCACCCACCGGTGTGTCGTAACCCAAACGGTTGGAAAGCGTGCCGCTCTCTGGAAGGCGCCCCCCCCCCCCTCTGACCTCCGCTGACCTGCCCGCCAGGAACGGTACCCGGGCTGGAAGCCGCCCAAAGCCAGGCGCGTCGTGAGCAAGCAGCAGTCCAAGATGCTGAAAATCGCGGAGGGAAAGGTGTTCCGACTAACGTGAGCGCGCCTGTTGTGGAGGCCGTGGCGCGCGCGGCTGGCCTTTCCGGCCGGCCAGTAACGGGTGTCGCCACATCCTGCAGAGTTTATCGCGCTGTACTGGACTTGGCGGTGCCGTTGCCCTCTTGCGCGATGCTGATAAAAGTGTTGTGAATAGTTTATAAGTAAGTCATTAGGCATGTGACATGCAAATGTGCACCCATACCAGACAGAGCCAAGCACGGTTTGTTTCCTTTATTCAGAGGCCATCGCCCGAGTTCCGCTACCTTCGCTACCTTCGTTAGAGGCTACCGCCCAAGTCCTTCGTCAAATCCCGCTCTCAGCCTTTTTGCCGGACGAGGTCGGGGAGAGATCGTGATCGTGTTCGCGGCGGGCAGTGACGGCACAGGCGCCCTGTGCCGACCGAGCAAGCTGCCGCCCGCCGGGGCGCCGGACGGTGCGCTCGGCGGCGGCGCGGCTCCGCCGGGCCCGCGCCTCACGCCGCCGTGCCTGCCCGGCCCCCGCAGGCGGGCGTACGACCTGTTCCGGCGGGACATGTTCCCGACGTGCGAGGGCTCGGCCAAAGAGCGCCTGCAGCGCTGCACCGCGCTGTGGCGGGAGGCTGACAGCGACACCCGACAGGGCTACCAGGCTAGGGCCGACCAGGTGGGCGCGGCACCGGCCTCCGCGCCGCGGCGGGCCGTCGCGGACGCGCCCTGTGTGTGATGCACGGGCCCAGCCAGTCTGGCCAGTTGGGTTGGTTGGTCGTGAGCGCTCGTACTACTGGTGGGTTTGGGGCTGGGTTAGGACAAGCACTGCGGTTTGGAACGCCGATGTCACGTGTAGCTATGATGGGGCGCCGGTTCCTGACGTGTGGGCGGGGACTAATGATGCAAGTTCAGTATTGCGTGGTTTCGAGGTTAAGGATATTGTCAACTGTGCAGATTGTGAACTGTTGATCATATGAACGCCCTCCGATCTGGAGAAGCGCGCTAATAGGATTTTGTTGTGTCCTTACGGGAAAAAAAATGCAACCGAAGTGTCTGTTTCGTGTTCAGAAAGAGGCTGAGTAGCATGAGTAAATCACGTGCTCAGAGTACCAGAATACCAGAACGAGGCATCTGTCATGAGTTCGACGTAAGTTGACGCGACAGTTATCATGTGGAGTGTTCGGGAGGACGCCGTCCGATGGCATTGGCACTGTGCCAGGCACGCAGGCCTAGCTTCGCACCCGGCGCGTTCGTCGTGTGTCCAGGAACAGGCATTATAGCGGAATCCACGATGTGTCCAGGAGAACGCGCACTTCCGGGACTCGATGCCTCCGCATCTGAAGAAAAAGGCGGCGCCACGGAAGCGACGGCGCAAGATTACGGCCAAGATGGCCTTCGTCGAGGAGAAGATGCCGTCCGATTTCAGCACGCTCAGTGAGGCCGAGTGGCGCCAGTTGCTCTCACGCAAGTTCAACAAGCTCAGCCAGCAGGACAAGGTGAGCGACATGTGGGGGAGGGGGTGGGGGGGCCTGGGGATCCGTCCGGACCCTCTCAGTCCGGAACCGGGGGGGGGGGGGGGGGGGGAGCGCGGCTCTGTGGCTCTGGGCGCGTAGAACAGACGGGACTTTGTCGTCGCTCGCAGAGTTCCACGCCTCCTGTCTCAGACGTTGGTTGGCGCGTTGTTTTCACGGAACGCGAAGGGGTGCTTTACGTGCCTGTCCGGGTAAGGAGCCGGCTTTAAAATAAACTGGTGCATTAGCGGCCTCACCCAGTTATCATCATCACCTGATTAATGACCGTCACTATCATGATTAGGAGTGCGGGCGAGGCCTGCACCGCCAGCGCACAAGCGTGGACCATTCGTATGCATGAGCACGGAACCGTTGCCAGGATTGTACCCCACGGCCATGGAAAGCCAGCTGGGACGATGGCTGACAGACACTTTATGCCCGGGGGGCTGTGAGATTGCCGCTGTCGTCCCGTCCCCGGCGTCGCCGTCCCCCACCGGCGGTGGCGCTGACACAGCCCACCCGCCCGCAGGACGTGTTCGAGCGCCGCGCCGTCGAGCTGCAGGCGGAGCAGGACCGGGAGGACGCCGCCGAGCGGGCAGCGGCGCCGCTCGCCAACGGGCCGGCGGCGGGGCTGAAGCGCGAGCACGAGCCGCTCGACTCCGACACCGAGCTGGAGGAGGAGGTAGGGGAGCGGCGCCGCGCGCTGCTCCGCTGGCCGCGAAGCTGCAGCTCGCGGAGTCGCAGCTGGCGGAGCTGCAGCTGGCGGAGCCGCAGCTCTTGGGGCCGGCGGCCGCACCGGCCGTGTTGGGCACGCGCGTGGTCGCCTGTGGGGCTCTGGACTGTGGCTGGCGGGCCGCTGCTGGCCGGGTGTTGCGCGGCGGGTGCGTCTCTGGTCATCCCTTCGCGTAAGCTGTTGCCGCCCGGTGACAGGTGGGTTTTCCACCGACCTGTCGTGTGGCCCCTTGCCATGCATTTTCGTCGGGTATTTCGTCTCCCCCCGCCCCTCTGACCCGTGATCTCCCTCTGATTCGTGATCGCTCCCCGAACCGTCTCCCCGTCTGACCTGTACTCCTCTGACCTGTCTCCCCGTCTGACCCGTGATCCCCCTCTGACCGGTGATCCCCCTGTGACCCGTGATCCTTACCTGACCTTGAGCCCTGTGCCGGTGTGTTCCCGTGTGACTATCACGGGGCTTTGTGCCCTGTCGCCGTCCCGTCTGAGGCACCGTTCTCCTGCGCAGGAGACGCTGTCAGCCCCGATCCAGGGGTCCGAGTCCGCCGCGGAAGAGATTTCCAGCCCCCGCACGCCGCGGAGGTCACGGGACAACAAGGTGAGCCGGCTGTCCCATTCGCGTATGTCCGACCACCAACCGCTGACAAACTTTGACCCGCCCTCACCTGACCTATCAGCCCCTCTGTGTGATCGGTCTTGTTCCCGTCTGATTTGTGGACTGTCCCTGGCCTGTCTCCCCCTCGCCGACCTGTTGTCTCCCCACCCGACTTGATGCCTTCTTCCGTACCTGCCCACCATCGGACCTGGCACCGGCTTCCTGACGCGGCGACTGTCCTTGACCGAACGCGGCCCTGCCTGCCCTGCAGACTGGCCCTGCCCTGTCGGCTGGCGGTGGACACGACACTCCCCCCGATGACATGTCATCTCCGCTGGACCGATCGGCTGCCCACGACATGTGGGCCAGCCGGACTTATCCACTGCCTCAATCGCCTGCCGCTTCCCTGTCTCACCCGTCTTCAGCGGATCTGATCGGGCAGATCGATAGCCTGTCGTCTCCCCCATACCACTCGCCGCGTCCCCGCGTGACCTGTGGCCGTGCTGCCCCCTCCCCCCCCCCCCCCCTCCTCTGGCTGACGTGCCGTGCGTCCCTCGGCAGACTCAGTCAGCTACGGTCCAGGGGTCTGGCCCTGCTGAAGACGCGGGTCTCAGCTCCGACGCCGCGCCCACGCCGCGGGTCAAGAAGGTAAGCTGGCTTCCTTCGGCCGTCGGGCGGTCGGCTGTCTCTGGCCCGACCCGACCCGACCTGGCCTGGCCTGGCCTGGCCTGGTGGCGCGTCTGTCCCGCTCCAGACCGCTCAAGCGAGTGAAGTACGAACCGTACGACTTTTGATGATTTGGGAGCTGAGACAGCTGTTTTTGACACATGGGGCAGTGGATTGTGTTTGCCTTCACGCATGCGCAGGCCGTGTGTGAGGACAGCTGACTTATGATGGATGTAAGGGAAGTAACAACCATTTGACACTTCGGGAAACCACTGCATGGGTATCACTTGTCTTCCGTGTAAGCATTGGCAGCTTCGCTCCGGCTTTTCATCGTAGGCGACTCTGCACTTCCAGGCTTTGGCTCTGGGTCGGTGTCCTGGCGCGGAGAGCTGTGTGACGACCCCTCAGTAGCGCCACCCGCTGCCGGGCCGTTACCCCGAGACCGCGTCACACACTTCCCCCGTGGGAGTCCCCTCTGGCCGTGCACGGTCGTGACGTTCCGCCGCGTGACGGCCCGCCGGTCCCGTTGCAGCGCAAGCGCCGCGCCGCCTCGCCGCCGCCGCCGCCGCCCGAGACCGGCCCGGCAGACGCTGGCGGCTGGGGCGACGGCGCGGACCGGGAGCGCGGTGGGCCCGCCGAGCCGGCCGCCGCGCCGCCGGTGGGGGAGAAACACCGCAACGGTCTCATCGTCGACGCGCACGAAAGGAGCGTGATGGATGTTGAGGGGGAGGACGAGGAGGAGGAGGAGGACAGCCAGCCCAGGTGCGCCCCGCGCCGGCCGGGAGGAGGTCGCGGCAGGAGTGGCCGGGCGGGCGGGTCTCCGGCGAATGGAGAGCAGTGTGACGCTGGGGAGCCTTGCCAGTGGGTGCGGGGAGTGAGCTGGTGTCCTGCTCACCCCCGCCTCCGTCCCCCGACACCTGCTTGGCCTCTGCCTGGTGTCTCGCGTGGTCACCGTCTGGGACAGCGAGTATCCTGTCGCTTTAACGGGTTTAGTCATTTAATAATAGGTTTTGCCCCCAGATGGCACCAGTGTGCCGTTCCCCAGTCGTCATTTGGAATCCCAGACGGCCACGGTATGTGTCGCCCGTGGTTCTGGCCGTGCGGCGAAGTCAGCTGTTGGGCACGTCAAGTCCTGCCGGTTCGTTGCAACGGTTTCGCTTCGTTATCAGTGACGTCATTTTCAGCACGCCGTTCGATCTGTTCGTCCAGACGTTTGCAAAACGGCTGGACAGCACAACACCGCAGAAGAAGCGACAAAAGAAAGCGAAAAAGTGAGTAAGAACTGTTTTGATGTACTCGTATTATATTTTTGGCATCGTGTTCAGTGCACGCTTGTGGTGTGTTTGATGTGGTCTGTTCCAAGAGACCCATATAGATTTGATGTTGGTGTGCTCGATATTTGGATAACCCTATCCATATGTGGCTTCCATTCATCAAGATTTGCTAGTGACTTCCATTGACATGCTCGTGCTCTCAGAATGCAATCGACGGATGGCGTGCGACGTCGGAGGCGATTTCAGAGAAATTCGTGGTCTTTTTTACCGATTGATGAATCTTGGTCAGACGTGGCGTGGCTTATGGGAGACTTGAGGCGCAGTTATCACTGACGTCATTATCCCACATAGGGCCCGCAACGCGCCACTGTGGCGTGACTGGAAGCACGCCAAATTTCAAAGTCTTTGTCGTCATTGGTAACCACAAAGTTGAATATTCAACGTTTCGGCATTAAAGCGTAGAAGCAAGCGAGTTCTGTTGTTCTGACCAGCACACCATTTCCCGGATTAGACACGGTCGGAGTATATTCAAAGGTGTCCCCTTTTGGTTATTGTTTAAAATATCGAAGCAATCGGTATTTTCTCAAAGAATATGATCTATTCATCAAGGTTGAAAACCAGCTTGTTGTTTGTAAACTACGGCTTGGACACCGGAGGAGGAGTCCCGATCTTCTAGCTTCTCCTTTTTTCCTTTTTTCAGAGATTCCTTTTAAAATTTAAAGACCTTTTCAGAGATAAACCGTCAGCGAATGGCGTTGGATCTACGTCCGGTATGCTGTTTGTGCTGTGTATCTGTCTCTCGCAAGCCGGCAGAAAGTACGGTTGTGTACGTTTGTGCGGACGCACCGCTATTCCTGTTCAACCGGGTGGGAACTCCTTCCATCTGGCCAGAACTGTTTTAAACCTCTGAGGCCACCTCACGATGTGATTTCAGGAGTGTGGTTTGTGTAAGCGATGGTGCAAATGTTTCCGTACATATTGCATTGGTATCTTACCCAGCCTTTCTACACGCTCAGACTCCGTCTATTTCTTCAACGCATCGTGTTTTTTTTTTCAACCGGCGGCGGAGCGTACCGACGGTCGGGCTTGACGTGTCGGCGTCACCCGCAGGGCCTGGACAAAGATGTCGGAAGAGCAGCGTCGGATAGTCGAGGACAGGTTTGACCGCCAGTTCCCGAACAAGGCCGGCTAGAGGCGCGCCGCCGCCGTCCGGGCCGGGCCCGGGAGTTGGCGCCGAGGGCTGCGGTCATCGCCCCCGCCGCGGCCGCCCGGGCGCCGCGCGGTCGGAACCGAGCGCCGCTGCCGTGCTGCCGTCGCCGACCTGCGGCGCCGGGGAGCCTGGGGTGGCCGCCGAGCGCCGCTGCCGCGCCCCGGGCGGCGCTCGACGCACCGTCGCCGGCCTGCGGCGCCGGGGCCTTGAGTGTCGCCGAGCGCCGCTGCCGCGCCCCGGGCGGCGCCCGACGCACCGTCGCCGACCTGCGGCGCCGGGCCTTGAGTGTCGCCGAGCGCCCGCTGCCGCGCCCCGGGTGCCGCCCGACGCACCGTCGCAGGGACAGCCACGCGCGTGACGTGACTATGACCGGGACCGGCGTCATGTCGATATCATCAGAGTTGCCTTGTCGCTGCTGCTGCGCGTGCGAGGAGCGGGTGTCCGCGTGCTGAGGTGATCATGCAGTGGGCGGTATAGATCATGTCCGCGGGATTCCATTTGAATGACGGACGGGGGCTGTACAAAGTGGCAAAGGGCCGATTTTGAAGTAGTTTTCTAGTGTGCCCTCACGCATGGACCGGATTTGACCAGAGGTGTCCGAACTCAACATGACCCAGAAAAGAAGCTCAGCGACGCGCTCATAGCGTGCCCCGGTGCGCTGCGGTGCCGGTCAAAAAACTCTGTATTTAATGACGCCGCGGGCGGGTTCGTCTGAGTGGTGGTGTTTTGCCATGGAATTGTTGCATGGTTCTGCACTCCGACGTCTGATGTCCGTTGGGCCACATCTCACTAATACAGAGCCCGTTCAGGCGCCGCTTGACGTGCTTTGGGATGGAGGGAGCAGCGCCAGATGGCTGCCGTTGCCAGTCTGGGTCCGCGTCCTCAGCTCAGTCACCAGCCGCGATCCTCATGTTCGGAGGTTGAGGTGGTAACGGATCTTACGAGGTACCAGGCTTTCAGGGATTTTCATTGTTTGCGTTGTTGCTGGTACTCTCAAGCGTTTTAAAACAGGACGGACTCTTTCGCGAGGCCGCGCATGCTCCACACAGCTCGGGCACGCTGCTTGAACCAAGTAATGATCGAGACTGCTCTGAGCAAATATGCACAAGTGACTCTCCAGAACATCTTGAAATATTCTAGAATGTAACACGCAGTGTAAGCGGGGAAATGCCGTCACACTCGCCGCGGGTGCCTATGTCTGGGTGCCCAGACCCAGTACCGGGTGCCCATGTACTCGCGCCCAGACACAGCACCGGGTGCCCATACCTAGTACCGGGTGCCCATGTCTGGGTGCCCAGACCCAGTACCGGGTGCCCATGTACTCGCGCCCAGACACAGCACCGGGTGCCCATACCCAGTACCGGGTGCCCATGTCTTGGTGCCCAGACCCAGCAGCGGGTGCCCACGTCCCCAAAATATGGTGTAGAACATAAACGCATTGCTCCCGCTAGGTTCCACCGAAAACTGATGAAAGCGCAGAGAGCTAAAGGTAAGGAGCGTTTCCAGGTGTGTGTGTGGGGGGGGGGGGGGGGGGCAGGTGGCACATGTCCCATCTCCACACAAGCAAAGGTGAGCTAAAGGTAAGGGGCGTTTCCAGGTGTATGTGGGGGGTGGGGGGGGGGGGGGGGGAGGCAGGTGGCACATGTCCCATCTCCACACAAGCAAAGGTGAGCAAAAGCAACATATGTCTGGACTTTGAAAGACAATCTGGGCAACTTTTGGCCTGGGGAGGTGGTACTGGCACTGCAGCGGTTAACACACGCCCAAGTGGCCGGTTGGATGCCCTTCCCTCGGGTGGGAGGTCAATTTCAACCTTACCCTGAGATCTCAGGAACTAAGAAGCTAGAGACACTAAATTCGTGGGATGTATTGGCCTGTACCCGCACTCACTTTGGTCGAAGTTTGATATTCCTAGGTCATGACCTTCGGGTCAAGAAAGGTCACGCAAGGTCAAACTGTAACTTGGTCTCCAAAGTGGCGCGAGAATCTAGATACCTGAAGCAAAAGGTCGCATTCTCGTTTAAAGTCAGTGGCCTTGCTTGACTTTTCGAAGGTCGTGGTGACCAAAATCATACAAGACCGCTCTGAGTTTTGCATTTGAATAAGCGAGAAAGAATACGCTAGGCAGCATGTTCCTGGAAACGATATGTTGATCTTGGTTATTTGAGGTTTGTGAGCTATTCTGACCTTTAGGAAGTTGTCAATATTTTCGAAATGAGCACCAGCAACTATCACACAGCAAGCCCGAGAGCAATAAAGCAGGCTGGTTTTGACCTCAGCTTGACCTTCATGCCTAACCCTAGGTCAATGTAATTTGGCCATTCAATTGTTCTGTTGCCCAAGGAAGTATCTCGGAGATGTATGACTTTGTATAATACCCCGTTGTTCCACCAGATTACAGCGGTTCCCTAGAAATTGATATCGCTGAATCCATGACCTGACCTGACCTGTCGTAGGCCAGTGGCCTTATAAGGTAAATCTAATTTGTATACCGCACGATCCGCTATTCAATCATCTACAGCTATGCAAAATTTGGCGCGGTTACGCCACGCTGTTCGGTAACCATTCCGGAAAAACCCTTAGGAGGGGGGCAATTTGACCCGCCGAGCGCGCGTTAAGCTGCGCGTCCAGGGGACCAGGGGCACCGGGTTCGATTCCCCGTGGTGCCCGCTCTTCCCGCCAGGGTGAGGCGCAGGCGACGTCACATAGCCTAAGCAGCTCAGTGGATTCTAAATCCCAACAGCATACACACTAAGCCAGGGAAGCTTGTTTCAAAATATTCACCGCGATAAAAAACGAATTCAGATAACCAGCCGCAGGAGAGCGCCAACATGGCTTGGACGCGGGCCTCTTCAGTCAGAGTTTGGCACGGGGTTACCGGTGGACATCCGTGGTAGAAATGCGCACCTGGTTATCATCTTCTTCATCTCAAATCGCCATCAAATCAAATCATCATCTCACACCCGAAGCCCGCAAACTTCTTATCCAGGCCTATGCTTTTCCCATATCCTGTAGTGCTCCTCAGTCTGGGGCGGGCCGCCGCCCACTATCTCGGCGAGTGCAAAAAGTTGTGAATTTCGTGGCCAGGATCGTATCGGGGGCGCGGGGCCGAGATGATATCTCACTGGTCATCAGGTCGCTGGGCTGGCGCGGAATCAGCGATCATGTTACGCGTCGCGCCCGCATTGGCGTCTCTAGGGCCCCAAATGACCCCTGCGCCCCGGTGGCGGTCCGGTCGCTGCCCACCCCTCGGACCGCTGTGAGCGCATCACGAGATCGGCGGTGGCCGGCGTATTCGAGCTGTCCGCTTTCCGGCCATGTCGCGTAGGGTGTTTTCATGTTGTGCGGCCTCGTCCTGGATGCACCTGCCGCCGGCCGTTATGACCTCCCGGAGCCATGCTGCGTCCATATCCAAATTTGACCGATGTGAAGGAGGGTTTTATTCGATTTTGAGGGCCTCTCAAGCGCTTGACGTGCCATGATCGTCGTATCGTTGATATGAAATGATTCGTGGTAAATACATGACAGAAGTGACTCTCCTTTTGGGTTAGCGGCCCGTCGTGCGATGTACTCGCTTCTCATTAGTTAATAATCACATCATTTCCGTGGCACGCGACCATAACTCGTCTCCGATTGGAGCTAGAATATGAGGCGAACCATCGTCTCCGTGGGCGCCGCATGACCTACAGAAGTCGATGCGCCCTAAAACCCCAAATCATCATCAACCGTCGTCTCCGTGCATGCCCATACGTTTCTGGACTTCAGGACACAAGGAATACTGGCGCGAGCAGGGCTGTCACCGGTCTATCACACAAATATAAATCTGCTATACCCTGCGGTTGGGGCGTTCATCTTTGCATGCGCGGCTCAGTTCGGTCGCACGGGATGTTCCTGTTGTACCGTTGACCAGAAAGCACGTCTTAGGCGCGGATCACCCCGTGTCCACACTGAAGAAAATTTTGCGTGTGAATGAAAATGCTCAGAGCGACCCGGGCCAGAGGAATCTGAAATGTGGCGCACTTGACCTCTGGATGACCCCCAGACGCGTCAGCTATAATATGAGTCGACCAATGTCTGCGTGTTAATCGTGGCAGGCACTCCACATGCACACGAAGGTTTTCGGCAATGTCACAATGTGTGGTGTGCCAATCATCAGTTCTCCGCTGTGCAAAGTCCATGAAAACTGGGATCTGCAAAAAGGTCAGAAGTCCCTTTTCATTGTATCTTTCACGTGTATACACAGCTCCAAATCTCAGATACACAGAAGGGCATGGCACTCGTATTCAGTCATTTTCGCAAGTAGGCTCGGCTCCTGCCAGCTGACAGAGCGCCGAGTTCCCTGGGCCCTGCCGGCGGCGGGGCCGCTCCGAGCGCCATCTGGCGTCAGCGGCCGCCTCGCCGTCGGCGGTGACTAGGAGGGTCGCACGGCGCGGCTCCTCGGGGCTACGTCATGGCAGCGTGCAGCGTGCAGCGTGCACACGCGGGACTACGCAGCAGCGCTCCACGCGCTCATCTCAGGCGGCGGCGGGACGGTCACAACTGTTCACAGCGAGTATCGGCAGCGCCGCCTCCGACGCGGCGCCGCGGCGCCGCCGGCCGGCCGCCGCGCGCGACCGGCGCCGTCCGCCGCCCGGCCGCGCGCGAGTCACGTCTCAGCGCGCCGAGCTGCGCGGGCGCGGCCGGACCACGCCGGCGGCCCGGCGGCCAGCCGTCCCGGTGCGGCGTATCACGGTGGTGCGCCAGGGCGGTGCGGGGTGTATCACGAGGGCGCGGCGGGCTGGCTGCTGGGCGCCGCCGGCGGCAGGCGGAGTGTGGCGCACAGCCGGTGGTCGCGCGGGTCGCCCCAGCCGCCGTTGCCTTTGACCAGCTTGAGGCGCCGGCTGACGGTCAAGAAGGCCGTCAGTCGCGCCGGGAACAGGTAGCGGCTGGCCGACTTGAGCGTGGCCGACATGCGCTTCAGCAGCGAGTACTTGTCGCAGTTCTTGCCGCGGTGGTGCACCCCGCTGTGGACGGACGGGGTGGGGCGTTATGGTCGCACCCGGTCCGGGTGCGCGCCAGCCAGACACACCAGGCTACAGCGGGGCGTGACACTGACACCGGTACTGGGGACGACGAGACACGAAGCAAAGCTGCGATGCTGGCGGCGTGTACTGTTCCTCCCGCTTAATGCAGCGGCACTGCACTGTACAGTGGACATCCGGCTGTATGCAGCAGCACTGCACCGTGCAGTGGCCATCCGGCTGTATGCAGCAGCACTGTACCGTGCAGTAGCCATCCGGCTGTATGCAGCGGCACTGAGCCGTGCAGTGGCCATCCGGCTTCACAGCGAAATACGGACACCTCAGCATGAATAACCAATTTCGCAATCAGATGAATGCGCAATAGTACGTTCACCACGTGCGACCAAACCTACGCAGCCCGCGTAAACAAAATAAGCGCCAGTGCGATGACCTTACCCTCGTCACGGACGGGCTTTCAGTCCTGGGGTGACAATCCACTACTGACTTTCAGTCCTGGGGTGACAATCCACTACTGACTTTCAGTCCTGGGTTGACAATCCACTACTGACTTTCAGTCCTGGGGTGACAATCCACTACTGACATTCCGGATGAGCCCATTAAATCTCATTCCCAGGTCCAGCGCGCAGAGTAAAGAGTAAAGAAGACGAAACCCCGAGCACAGCACGGCGAAACGGATCGAGGCGGTTATTCCCCGTCCGGCAGGGACGTCCACGCACCACTCCCCGATGTGGAAGACGCGTGGCGCCTTGGCCAGCATGACGTGCAGCTTCTGCACGGTGCAGCCGCTCTGCGAGATGTACTGCAGGCTCCAGTCCCAGTTGTAGTCGTCGAAGGCGCAGAACATGGCGGTACAGGACCTCACCATTTCCCATGTGGTGCGGTTGAACGCCATACCCATGTTGTGCTTGGACCCGTACCACTGGGTCAGCTCCACCTGCCAGCAGTGAGGTCAGGTCACGTGGGTCACAGGGTCAGCGGAGGTCCGTGAAGCCACAGGGTCGGGGGAGGACCCGCGGCGCTGGGTCAGTCCCGTCCGGCAGCGGTGATCATAACGGGTCACGGGGTCAGCAACGGGGGACACACCCTTGGGTCACCTCCACCTGGCGGTAACCCTGCCAGTAACCAGAGTCCAAAAGGGCGCCCGCACTCGTAGTCTGTTATGGTTACCCCAGGACACACCGGGACATGGCAGCAGTCGCTTGAGGCCTTCTGAACGCTTGCGGGCACGAGCGCCTGAGCGTGAGAGGAGAACCGTGTCCGATGCGGCGAGAACTCCACAAACCTTATCTGGGCCACTGTATACTCAGTCCACACGAAGCTGAAGCGCCACAAAACCTATACAAAGCCGACGTCCACACTTTTTGTGAAACATGGCCTACCGAACGGACAGGTTCGCTGATAAGGTACATCGTCACCAAAGTACACAAGTCGGGGCCATTCAGGCTGTGTTTCTCACCAAGAAAAAGCCTCTCGGACCCATCGACACCAACTCGCACTTCACACAGCAACACGGATAGCGACGCAGCAACCCCGCGGATACCAACGCGAACAATCGCAAGAGCGCGAGCACCTCGTCCGGCGTTCGCCGCCGGACTGTCAGACCGCTCCGGCGATGTGGCCACCGTGGGAGCGGCCTGCCGCCCCTGCGGCGGGTCGCCCGACCTCGCCGCAGCTCCTGGCCGAGGCCAGCACCGGACGCACGGGCCCGGCGCCGCGCCGAGCGACACCAGACTGGAGCGAGACGGCGCGAAGCCGGCGCGTGGGAATCGCCGGGGAGCCGGCAGCTGGGGACGAGGACGTCAGCTCTCCGCGGGACCGGGGACGGGCGCGTGAGGTCCGACTCAGCCCGGTCCGGCCACCGACACACACAGCTCTCCCGCCCGCAGGCACCGCGGGGGCCTGTGTGCGGACCCAGGGCCGGTCGAAGGTCGGACGGCTGGAGCCTGCCAGACACCGCTTCTGCTCGGCTTGCGTCAATGCCAGACGCACGGGGAGCTCACGCGTGGCGCAAATGTTATGGTTACTTGCTGGAAACAATGTCGGCGTCGGTTTTACATCCGGACTGGACTTGTCTGTCACACCCAAGCTGCGCAACATTCGAATTTGTCTTCGACTATTGATCAAGTCTGTCACCAGCGCTAGATCGTGTAGCATCGCACTGGACCACCCGTAACGCGTGGCAAACGCCACCACACGACAACCTGCGGCACCCACACGGGTTCTCGGCATGTCTGGGAAAAACAAACGCCTTCAGCTCTCTCTCCCTCTCCCTCTCCCTCTCCTCTCCCTCTCCCTCTCCCTCTCCCTCTTCCCTCTCCCTCTCCCTCTCCCTCTCCTCTCCCTCTCCCTCTCCCTCTCCCTCTCTCCTCTCCCTCTCCCTCTCCCTCTCTCCTCTCCTCTCCCTCTCCTCTCCCTCTCTCTCCTCTCTCTCTCTCCTCCTCTCTCCCTCTCTCTCTCTCTCTCTCTCTCTCTCTCTCTCTCTCTCCTCTCTCTCTCTCTCTCTCTCTCTCTCTCTCTCTCTCGAACCTACGGGTCTCCAATCGCTGTGGACACGAGCCGGGCGCTCCACGCCACGCACGCGCGGGACGGCAGACCCCGCTTCCTACCCTGCAAACCACACCATTGGTAGCGCGGCACCACGCAGATGGCAATGCGCTGCCGGCGCGCGCGGCCTGCAGAGCTATTTCGCTCGTGGACGAGGCTGGGCACGATGAACGTGACGGTGCCTGCGGCCGTTGCGACGAACGCGGCAGGGCCGGGTGTGAATAAGGTATAACGAGGGGCGTAAATCAAACGTCAGCCGTTTTTTACGAAAGATTAATGTGCAAAATGTGCAAAATTAATGTGCAAAACAACTTTTTAAAAGCTTTGGCGTTTATTTTCTAACCATACCACTTTTACGAGCGCTTTTCGACAAGAAATGTTTCCAGATACTAAAAACATGCTTTTAAAGACCCATCATGTCATCAAAAGGTGGTTAGCTAGCTACAACGAAGGTCATGCTTTTAGGGACAGGCATGATGGCATGACACCACAAAACAAACTCCTGCATTCTTGTAGTGTACCTGTTCTTAGATATGCAGTACTTCACTTCTTTCACGTACTTAGAGTTTACAGGACTTACATACGTCAACATGATCCAAGATGAATCATCCTTAAATGAAATGATCACCAAAGCCCGCCTTGCTCCACACAGCTTCGATGTAAACAATAATGGAGCAGCCGGCATCCAGCGCTATCGACCGATGCACATTACTGATTGTCCTGGCTGGTATTTTCCTAAAATTTGGGTGGCCTACAGACGTGTGCTAAAAACATGCCTATAAAGGGTCTCCTTTAATAAACAAACTCATTCTTAGTTGGACACATGACGGAGAACTGTTGCACGTTGATGGCATTGCGTGCAAACCATATCTTTATTGCCAGAGTGCTTAATGCATACTTTATCTCCACATAAACATTTTAAAAGCTTTTGCCAACTTTTCGGTGCATTTGTCCGTCGTGAAAACGGCTATTGTAATGCGTATTTAACTGCGACTTAATTTTTCGGCCTCAACGACGAGTTGGGTTCAGATGCCGTCAATGGTCCGTCCCGATGGCTCATGCAGTAAGAGCGCCTGCCTTCCGACTCCCCCACCCGTGGCGGGGTGAGTTCGAGTCGCTTCGAGCGCTCGCCATTTGCCCTTGACAGGCATGGCCAGCGGCCCCGATAAAAGGCCAGCTGACGTCAGGGGGCAGCACGGCCGAGCTGTGGAATTACGCAATCGGACGGCACGGGCCGGGACTCACAACACGCACTGCCTGATCCCAGACGTCCATCCATCAACGTCAGGCCTGATCCCAGACGTCCATCCATTCAGAAGCTTCAAATCAAATCTTAGAAAGGTGTACGTGGGATTGGTTCGAAAAATGCGACACGACATCCAGAATACGCCTTCATACGTGGCGCCGAAAAATCATGACCATGAGGAACTGCGCGTGCCTTCAGGCCATAAAGAGAATATTCCACCTGACATGGCTAACAGCGCATGACAACTCGAATTATTCGCAGGACGTAACCGGACTTGGAGGTGTACGCTGGACGATGTCATGCTATTTACCGTTGCCAAAACGACTGAAAGCATCATAAATTTACAACCGCAAGTGTTCGGCACGCCGCGTTGCGTTGCGTCAGGCGCCTTATCTAGCCAATCACCGACCAGCAGCGGCGGCTTGCAGGCTAACCGTTGGATGTCGGCGCTGGCATTTCTAACAATAACATGACATTCCTGTTTCCACGTGATACTGTGTGGAATAGTTCGTCGGACAAATGGCCTATGAAGCCGGGCCCAGTAACTGGGGGGTTTATGTCTTCACTGTATTTCTTGTAACCGCAAACACGCTGTGTGCTTCAAGCTAGCATTCTCAACTCAAAACTCCATACGACGCGCGACTTCTCCTTTAACCGATGCACATTCCCGTTAGGAATTGAGCCATCTGGCCCACGTTACCGTCGACGCTTTGTCAGCGTGGCGCCTGTCGCCTGCTTTCCTGCACAGTGTCAAAGGCGGTGTGTAACTAAGCCCGCTCCGCCAGGCGGCCGCCACTGCACAGACAGGGGATCAACACTGGCCGCGTCGCTTGCTTATACAAACATTAGATAGGGGGCCGGACAGAAGCTCCAGCACAGGGCCTCTTCGGGGAAATTGGATGCCGACTCTTTTTAGGTTCATTTTGAGCATAATCAGCACACAACACACCGCAGGACAGGTTGCTTATTGCGATACCTTCAGACTTTTGACCGTGGCGCCATCACAAAAACCGTGCCACGGCGAGTTTTGTCTAAAAATCGTTAGGGGCGTTGCGGGACCGTTCGTGAAGCCTCTGAACCTGTGTTTGCTCTCATAAAGCCAATATTTATCCACGTCGTTCCTGAACGTCCCCGAGACGAATGCGACGCGCCAGGCGGCCGACAATTTTCGGCTGACGAAGCGTGCGCTGCTTACACTAGGCCGGCGCAGCACGTCGGCGCTCGGCAAGCCCAGGGGCGTTTGTCGCCCGTAACCAGATCAACACGACCCTGGCAGAGGCACGCTCCGGTCGCGAGAAGGCCGGCCGCACCCGAGCCGCGCCAGGCGGTGAGCCTGCCCACCGCGCCCGTGACGCGACGCCGCCGGAGGACGAGAACGAGAGCAAACGGAGAACGACATCGGAGAATGCTCCGACTGGGTCAGGTGACGCCGCGGCGACGGTCATCACGTGACGCGGCTCGCCGGGCGGCGAAGGAGGGGAGGGGGGGAGGGGTCGACCGGAGGTGTACGCACCCGCGCCGAGTCGGCCTTGTAGTTGTAGACCTTGAGGTAGGTGCCGAGTGAGAGGATGTTGCAATGATGGCAGCGCTCTTCCCGGCTGGCCGACATTAGGTCCAGCATGTGCAGGAAGTCGGGCGCCACGTAGTGGTCCTCCTCCAGGAACAGGAACAGCCCCGAGTGGTTGCGCGTGAATTCAAGCTGGTCGAACACCCTGCGGGCACGAGCCGTGTCAGCACCGGACGCCGGCAGCCAGCGCGTGACGGTGACAGCGGGCTTCGAACGCGATCAATACAACCACGGTGGGTTGGTGCGTGACAGAGCGCGTCCGCAGTCGACACAGCAATACCAAAGTTATCCGGGAGAGCTGCGCCGCGCCATCGGCCAGCGCCGCCCGGCGGTCATCCCCCGGCGCGGCGGCCGTGTGCCGACGGCGTCACTTAACGACCCGCCGGACGGCCGGCCGGGCCGCTCGTGCCGGCCGACACGGACATGCCTGCCGTGACCCGGAACAGCCCCACTAAGGAGCGCCGGTCACGTGACGGGAGCGGCCGGCGGCGTGCAGCATCGGCCAGGGGGAGAACGCCAGCGCGACGGCAGGACCCGAGGGCTGCGGCCGGGACGGCGGCGCGGGGCGCTTCATGGTGCAACGCGCGAAAACTGCAACGCCAGCTGATGTCTCTACCTGTCGTGCTGGCTGTGGCGGCAGGGGCCGTGTTACAGCTAGTCGCACGCGGCTCTCTATGTTACATAATGGGTCATTGCGAAGGCAATTGACGTTCCAGTCCCTCAGCCCGGTGGCGGCGACGGAATCCATACAAGCGCTCATAACATACCACTGCGTTCAACACCCGCACGCTAACAGCGGCGGGTTCACGACAGCACGCTGCTGAACGGTGCCGTCCCTCAGGAGCGGTCCCCCAGGGAGCGAGCGGACGGAGGCGGCGGGCGGGGGGGAGCGCTGAGCGGCCGCCTGACCTCCTGGACTCTGGGTTATTAATCGCAGGGGAGGTCGGTAGCGGGTCGATACGGACCGTGTGCACGGTACTTCAGCGGCTGCCGCTGACTTGTCGGCGTGGTATGGCCGGCCGGGCGCGACGGACGCGGAGGGAGGCAGGGCAGAAGGACGGGCGAGTGGCCTCTCACCTGGCTGTGTGGCGCGGCGAGTGGTCTCTCACCTGGCTGTGTGGCGCGGGGAGTGGTCTCTCACCTGGCTGTGTGGCGCGGGAAGTGGTCTCTCACCTGGCTGTGTGGCGCGGGGAGTGGCCTATCACTTGCCTGTGTGACGCGGCAAGTGGCCTCTCACCTAGCTATGTGGCGCGGGGAATGGCCCCTCACCTGGCTATGTGGCGCGGGGAGTGACCTCCCACCTGGCTGTGTGACGCGGGGAGTGGCCTATCACTTGCCTGTGTGACGCGGGAAGTGGCCTCTCACCTGGCTGTGTGGCGCGGGGAGTGGCCTCTCACCTGGCTGTGTGGCGCGGGGAGTGGCCTCTCACCTGGCTGTGTGGCGCGGGAAGTGGTCTCTCACCTGGCTGTGTGGCGCGGGGAGTGGCCTATCACTTGCCTGTGTGACGCGGCAAGTGGCCTCTCACCTAGCTATGTGGCGCGGGGAATGGCCCCTCACCTGGCTATGTGGCGCGGGGAGTGACCTCCCACCTGGCTGTGTGACGCGGGGAGTGGCCTATCACTTGCCTGTGTGACGCGGGAAGTGGCCTCTCACCTGGTTATGTGGCACGGGGAGTGGCCTCTCACCTGGCTGTGTGGCTGTGGCTGGAGTGCATCTCTCCCGGGGAAAAGACGGATGGCGCGGGACGGGAAGGCGCGCGGAGAGGTGGCGGCAGCGGGACGGCTCCGACCCCGCCGGCCGCGACGGAACAGCGGCGCTCCTCGGCCGGCCGGGAGAGGACTGGACAGGACTGCTCAGAACCCGGACCAGGAGTCTGGAAGGATAGCTGTGCCACATGAGATACTCACATGGGATCGGGCCGTCACGTGTGACTTGAGTTTAACCAATGGCGGATGTGAACCGCCTCACATCGGCGCCATCACGAACGTCACACTGCGCTCAGACAGAGAACACACCTAAAGCCGCATGCCATTTGTTGTTGCGTGTGCCATCAGTCACTATACTATTCGTGCCAGACATCCCCATCGCTAACCGTTCCTGTAACCCATTTGTCACATAGAATGTAAACATCACATTTCTCGTTCCCACGATGTAGCAAGCATCTCCACCAGTTTCCTCGACCGCGTGTAAGTTCGTGATAAACTTCAGGGGGGGGGGAGGGGGGGGGGGGGAGTGGGCTCGGTGTCCGAGCCACCTGTTCGGACCACCTGTTCCGCGAGTGAGGCCTAAGCGACCACCAGGACGAGCAAGTCCCAAACAGCAGGGTTCGACGGTCCAAAAGCTGAGCACGAACTGACCGAAGCGAGCGACCCGCCCGCGCCGCGCCACAGGCCGAGTCAGAGGCGGCCAGCCGGTGTTGGCCTGCGTCCGGGTTAGCTCCGTCCCACCTGGACCCCGGTCGTCCCCCGCGCGCGGCCCATTGCGGGACAGCCCCCGCAGGCGTCACACCGCCGGTCTCCGACAGCTGACCCACGGACGACGCGCGGACCCCGGCCGTCACCCGCGCGCGGCCCATTGCGGGACAGCCCCCGCAGGCGTCACGCAGTCAATCTCTGACAGCTGACCCACGGGCGACGCGCGGACCCCCCCCCCCCCCGTCACCCGCCGGGTCGGCCCACTCACCCCCGCCGACAGTCACGGTCACGTGACGTCACCGGCGTTCAATCAGCGGCGCCGAGCGGCGCCGCCGGCGCACAGGAAATCAATGGCCGCCGCGGCCAGGCGGCAGGCGCCCGGCTGACCGCCGCGGGCGGACAAAGGGGCGCCGCACGGCCGCGGCGCCGCGGACGGCATCGGTCGGCAGCACGCGAACGGCGCGGAGCGCTACCTCTCGATGGGGAGACGGCGCGGCAGCCCATTTCTATGGAGATCACAGTGGGGATATGCTCAGACAATGTGAGGAACGAAGGAGGCGACTGCGGACGGAGTGGCGGGCAGGGAGAGCGGTGGAAGGAAGGGGAGCAGTGGAGAAAGAGGGAGAGGGGACGGAAACAGAAAAGGTGGTGGCGAGGCGAGGGGGCTGGTTCCGGACACCCCTCTCGCGTCACCTCGGCCCGGCGTTGGTCACCCCGGTCAGAGGTTAGGCAGGCTCGCGCCAGGCCCGGCTCATCGCCGACGGGACGCGCGTCACGACCAGTCCCAACCACGCCGCCTCCCAGACTCTCCGCAGACGAGACTGGGGACTGCCCAGCGTGAACAACACACACGCTGCCAGCCGGGCAGAATTGGCAGGACTCGGTCCATTAAAAACACGGCTCGATCTACCAACTACGTCCACTGGATGTCCCTCGGCGCCGCCTGTCATAAAGACCGCACCACAATTCCACTAATGCCGACATTCTGAAACATTACAGCGACCGCCGCGCCGACGCTCGTCGAAAACATCGCCGCCGGGCCGGCGGCAGCGCTACCACACGTGACCGCCGCGGTGCGACCTGGCTCGCGGGCGGGTCCGCGCCGCCGCCGGCCCGTCACACCCGAGAGTGCAGCTTCCCGTGCGCGTCACGCCGGCCTCAATCCGAGTCGGACGCGCCGAACTGAGCGGCACGTCCGGCCAGCGACGCCAAGGTCGACAGGGCGGCCGCATCCCGGCCAGGCGCCGTTTCCAGCCGGGCGCGCCCAACTGTCGACATCCTGGCGACGAGGCGGCTGTCCGCGGCGGCCGCGCCGCCGGCGGCGCTGTTCCGACGCGCGCCGCCGCTGGCTGGCCGCCGGTCATAGCGCGGCCGCGCCGACCGGTGACAGACGCCAGGCCGCGCGCCGGCGGCGAGACAGTCCATCCACGCGCGCGCGCCGGCAGTCTGGCGCCGCGGACGAGACGCAGACGCGGTGGGATGCAACAGGCGCGCGCGGCGGTGCCCGACCCGCGACACCCGCGCTCGGGTCGGAACGAGCCGACGGTGAATGCGATACGAGCTCCGAATGCCTGCTCAATGTTCACGGCCGCCTTTAAAGCCCCAGGCAAACACTCCGGGCGGCGTTCGGAATCAATGCCGGCCATTGTTCCCAGCGCGGCTGGGCGGACGTGGGGTCGCTCGGTCGACGGACGGCGCTCGACTGCCGATCCTCTGCCGCCGCCGGTTCGGCTAGGCGGATCCTCCGGCTCGGCGGTCGGCAGCCACTCACCTGTTGGCCTTCCACCACCAGTGGTGCTTGGTCTGCGTGAAGCGCGCCTCCCGGTAGTGGCCGTACTTGTCCGGATGGGCGGCGTTAACGCAGCCCGCCTTCAGTGCCCTGCCGGCAGCGCCCGCGCACCGCGTCATCCCCTCAGCGCCGGGCACAGCGCGGGCAGCCTCCCGTGTCCGGCTCGCGGCGCGACAGGCAGTGCCACGTGTCGCACATCGCACGCACACCACGCACCGTGTGTACCCGTGGCGGCCGTCCACCGACGTCGACCGGCGGCGTCAGTGTCCCACCCCGACGCAGCGCCTCTGCTGTCCCCACGCGTCTGTTGCCCACCCCCGTTACACGTCGGCCGCGTCCCGTCAGCGTTCTCCGCCCGGCGCCGACCTCACCCGTCCCGTCATCTACACCGCGTCGGTCTCCCCGCGCAAGCTGTGCAGGGCACACGCCCGCGACGGCCCGCTCACCGCGTGGGCCGCCCGCCCCACCGAGCTTGTCCGGGGACGGGGCGGCGCGCGCCAGGAGCGGAGCCGCTGGCAGCAGCGGGACAGGGGCGTCACGGTCGTGACGGGATGCGGACGGCGGGGCTGGGCCGTCACGCGCAGGATCGGGCTGTGGCGGGCACGGCGGCGCGGCAGCGGATGGGGCGCCGCCGCCCTCAGACGGAACGTGGCGTGACGCGCCGGACACGGGCCGAGGAACACGGGCCGAGGAACACGGGCCGAGGACACGTGCCGGACACCGTCAGCACCGCAGTCTGAGCTCTGAATGTGCACATGATATCACCGGACTCGCCTGTATGCGCACCACCACTCTGTACTCTGTACACTCTGTACACTCCGTACAGTCCGCGATGTCGGCGCTCCCGCGTGCCGCGGCAGGGCAGGCGGGGCCGACATGATGAGGCATGCGGGTTGTACCATGCAGTAACAGCGGAGAAGGTTGCATGCCATGGGGTTAGAAGGTCCTTCTCCAGTTGTTACAGTTTGCCACAACAATGCCGTTAGGTTCAGATGCACAGCTGCCACCAAATGCCATCCTGAAAACGCTCATGTTTACGCCGCGATCCAAACGGCTGCCGGAGAAGCGGTGGTGGTACGGTGGTGAGACGCTCCGCTCTGGACCTGGCGGTCTCGGGTTCGAGTCTCGCCACGCCACCATCGCATCCCCTGGCGGTCGGCTGCACGCAAGGCCCCCGGTCTTTGTTAAACGACTGCCGACTGAGGAAGTTTGGTGCTATATCCTGTTAGGAGAGACGACGAGCAGCATAAACCCTTCACCAGGCGCCGCCACCGGATGACTGCAAAGATACGCGAAGGGAAGTGGCTCGGCGGCGGGCGTCTCGCCACGACCGACGGCGGTTCGACGGCAGGCTCTGTAGCCCTCCACCGAGACCCATGCCACCTGACGCGTTAGAGGCAGCCAGAGGCGGCGGCGGCGGCGGCGGCGGCGGCAGAGGTCGGCGAGCCGGCCTGACCCGCTGGGAGCGGCGCCGGAGCCGGTGCGGCCCGGTCAGTCACCTGCGGGACGGTACACCGGCGGCCGCGGCGTCCACCTGGAACGGAGCCGCCGTCCCGCCAGCCACGCCTGCAACAGAGACGGCGGCGCCGGCCGGCCCGTCACGTCGGCCGTCCACATCGCCCGCCTCCACCTCCGTCGGCCGCTGGCCACGTGGCGGGGGCGGGCGCGCTCCGGCAGGTGTTCCACACCGCCCACCCCTGTCTCCGTCTGCCGTCGACCACGGGGGAGAGGCGCACCCGGGCCGGCGGGCGCAACACGCGGAGAGCCAAACGCAGCGCATTGCAACCCGAGCGGGGCACGTGGGACGCACGTGGGGCACGTGGGCACACACACACACACGCGGCACGAAATACCTCGTCAGAAAGCCTCACAACGTCAGGTCAGAACAGCCCAGTTACAAGCGGAACGTAAGGCCACGCTCCGAGCAGGGACGCGACACGCAAACGAAAAGCAAACCGACCGAGACCAAGAACAAGCACACCCGCGTGCAATCGGCGCTCCCACGCCCGCCCCGGACGCCGATAGCGCCGTGGTTAAGTTGCGCGTCCGAGAGTCCCGAGGTGCGGGCTTGGCTTCCTCGCGGTGCCCGCCTTCTCCGCCAGGACGGCAGGCGACGCCAGCGCGGCTGAGCGCGTCGTGCAGCCCCGGCGACGTCAGCAACCACCCACCTGGCACGCGTCATGTCCCGCAAACAGTCTCCCTTCGACTGGCCGGGGAAGCTGTGCTGATGCAGCTGCAGCGAGAATGGGTAGAACACCTGCGTGACGCGACAGAAGTCCACCTGCTCCACGGCCGCGTTGATGTCCTCGTTATACACGTCGTGGCTGAAGACGAGCAGGGCGCGCTCGATGCCGCGCGCCGCGCGTAGGCTCTCGATCAGCTTGCGCAGGTAGTCGAGGCGCGTGTGTACCTGCACCACCACCACCACGTCCGAGGCGTTGAGCGGCTCGGCGACGCCGCCGCCGGGCGCGCGCACGTGCTGACCGGCGTTCAGCTGCGCCAGGGTGGCGGCCAGCTGCGGCGGCGGCGGTGTCGCCTCGGTGGGCGGCGGCGTGCTGGCCTGTGGCGGCGGCGGCGGCTGCTGTGCCGGCCGCTCGCCCGGCGGCGTCACCGTGCCGGCCGGCGCGTGCAGTTGCAGCAGCAGGAACACCAACAGCAGCGCGAACAGCATCAGCGTCTTCAGCAGCCGCGCCAGCAGCCGGGGCAGCATGGCGGCCGGCGGCGGCGCCCACCTGACGGCAGCGCGGCGGCGTCAGGCACGTTCGGCCGACCGCCTCCGACCGCGGCCGCGCTGCTCGCGGCCGGCCCGCCGGGCGGACGGACGCCGTCCACGCGCCGTCCAGCCGGATGTGGCGTGAGCGGCGGCGCTCTGCAAGCGGCCGATCACGACACCGCACGTGGCGAGCGGCCGTTTCCGACCCGCCGGCGCGGCGGCGCCCTATCGTGGACGCGGCACGAGCGCCGGCCGGCGCCCGACCCGGCCCACGGAGGCGCCGCCGGACCCGCTGACGACGACTTCCGCGGGAAAGTGTTGGCACACGGATCACAGACCACGCCGCGGCCGACAGACCGCTACGCCAGCACGGCACTCTCGACAGATAGTGCACCGTATCAGCTACACATCAGCGCCGCATATCAGCAGGCCACGCCCGATGAAGTGGTAGCTATGGTCATAACAGTGCCGTGCGACGAAACGACTTCCACAAAAAATTACGTGGAGGTCGTTACATTCGCCATATGGTATGCATTCGCTATGTGGCCGCTGACAGCTGCTGCCAAACACGCCGACTACAAAGCAAAAGTCGCGTAAATACGACGCATGTTGGTAATAACAGCATGTATTCAAGTAGGAATACAGACGCTAAAAACGTGCACTGATGGCGTGGATATAGCCTCCAAGCGCAGCGCGTCAAAACAGCCAATCATCGGCGACTTCACCCCCGACGTGGATGCACCCAGGGTGGGGGAACGGTGGGCGGAGGTGGGGGGGGGGGGGGGGGGGGCTCGGGCGCCAGGCCGGTCACGTCCTGAAGCAAATCAGCACTCCGGCGCCAAGCCAGCTCATCTGGCCGTGCGCGACGCGGAGATCCGGTCGGGCCGTGCGCGAGGCGGGGATCCGGTCGCAACAGTGGGCCGCGCCTCAGGGCTGCCTCATGACACGCCCCGCCCTAGAGCAGAACGCCAGGCCACGGGAGTCCAGCTAGTACACGAAATGCACAGGAGGGGCCGACAAAACCTCTATTCCAGTCTTGGAGCGGGGCCAACACCGTGTATTTGTTATGCGAAGAGATAGCGGCTTAGGGCCCACGCCAGCGGAGTAACGCTATGGCGCAAGGCCGAGGCTCGTTCGTCATGAATTGCTAAGCAGGTAAGTTGTGCCATATCGCCCAGAGACTCCCGTCAAATAAAGTTTCGGGCATCACACACACACGCACGCACACATGCACGCATGCACGCACGCACACACACACACACACACCGCGTTTCGCATGCTGCAACGGACACGACTGTCGAGCCGGCGGCCCATGTCGTGGTAATGAGCACGCCGCCGCACCGTTCTTAGCACCGTAACCAGTAAGCGGCACCAGCACACCACCAGTGCGCCATTGCTCTAGTCCCTCCGCCCCCCTCCCCCCCCCTCCCGCACACAAACAACCACTGCGTGCGGGCTGGCATTACAACAGGTCACCGAAGCACACAGACTGGCGTGCCCAGGCCGCGGCGACAGGGAGAGTATGGGGAATGGGGAGGAAAGAGAGGGGGGGGGGGGGGCAGACGCTTGCGAACAGCAGCCGGCAACAGTCCATACGGAAAACAGGGAGGGGAGGCGCAACAGTCCGACGGTTCGTGGACATCAGATTCGTATGCCTTCGGCTGCGGTGTAATGTGACACAGAGCCTGCCCGGGGATAGCGTATGATGCGTGGACTTCCAGTGACGGTCTCCTCCTTCGATGCGGCCCTCGGGCCTCCCAGTGAGCGCAGAACAGCTCCCAGCCCGACGGCTGAGCGCACGAAATGCGTTAACACTATCGCATTTCATCTTAACGACCGCGCGGCATAGGCAACCCTGAAAACACAATCCACTCGCAAATTTACAGCCCGACACATGCTAACCCTCGTCCTGTCATCAGAGTCATCAGAAAAACACACATCAGCAGCGAGCAGCGTTCTCCGAGCCCCGACAAAGGCGCCCGATGCGGCGATAACGATGTGGTGCCGCCTCAGCAGGCGACGGCGCTTGGCCAGCTATTGTTCGAAGCCCTCGAGAGCCGGGCGGCACTCCGAAGCTCGACGGTACGCTTCGCCTCTCTCTCTCTCTCTCTCTCTCTCTCTCTCTCTCTCTCTCTCTCTCTCTCTCTCTCTCTCTCTCTCTCTCTCTCTCTCTCTCTCTCTCTCTCTCTCTCTCTCTCTCTCTCTCCTCCCTCTCTCACTCGCTCGCCCTTTGGGGGTCCCACTGTTTCCCTCTCCTTATCCCTCTGCCTCTCCCTTTGATGGGCCCGCCTGCTGAAGGACCCCAGCAGTGATCAGGGGGTCCCCCTGTGCCCATCTAGGGACGACACTGGACGGGCGCATCGGAAAGTCCCGTAGCGACCACCGACGGACGACACGAGCCGACCCACCTCAGAGCCCTCCAGCGACCCCCGCCGAGCCTTCGGCGCTTAACAGCGGCGGCGCCGGCGCTCCGCCGACAGCCCGCTCGGCACCGGCCCGCCGGGAGCCGTGAGAAGCGAAGTGGACCAGCCGAGCAGGTCGGCGCCACGCGGTGTGAACTGGGCTCGCGGGACCCGGCCGCGCTCATCCGCCACCGGCCGGCCCCCGCATCGATCCGCCGTCCGGCTTCGCTGGGCAATAACGGCCGAGACAAGGAGCGTACTCCAGTGGGGCACCGCACCGCCGCCAGCCGCGGGCCGCCGCCGAACAGGCACCGGCGGCCGCCGCCCGGGTCCGGCGCCTGACCCGCCGGTGAGCGAAGTGTCCGCACAGGCGTGCGCCGCCGTCGCCACACAGACGCGTGTCAGGATCGTCACGCGCGCGCCCGCGATCCTCATCGACGCTGGTCAATTGGCATCGCCTCGGAGAGACGTGCGCCAGGATGGGCTTCACGTGGACAGGCGCTAGCAGAGCCGTTCACGTATATAGCTTCCACCAGCGCAGGTGCTCAAGTCGCGGGTCCGTGCGAATCGACGGCAACAGATGCGCTGGATGGACCTGCACGCTCTCAAAACGTGCACGACTTACACGCGCCAGTACAACATAACCGCGATCGGCTGCACAAGACCTCGGTATCAGCTCAGCACGAAAAGACATCCCTGCAAATGGATCGAGCGCACACGTCTCGCACCAGTTTTGCGTGGACACAGGCGTGCTGTAAAGCCTCGCGCGGGCACCCGCCGAACGTGCGTGTTGTATGGTGCGTTACATGCAAGCACACACAAACCTCGCGCACGTAGACATGCTTGTGCTTCTTCACGGCGCCGAAGCATGTGCACTTCTCAATGCACTGCATGCATCGGTATAGCATAAATGCCAGCACTGGCTTCCCGATCACACACAATGGCCAGCATGAATGCCCCTGTCGCAGCAAAAACTGACATTGAACGCTCAGAATTCGCGACACGAAAGGCGTAATTCGAATACCAGCACAACACCTGCAGAGACCGGCACCGCACCGACAGAGCCCCGCCGGCAAAGCACGCACCACAAGCCTTCGACCTCTGGCATTCGCGACCGCACAACTCCGCAGCACGCAGGTCGGCGAGCCGTTTCCGATTCCGGGGCGTATCCTGCGGGGCACCGGAAACCGGACCCGCCCGGCGGCCCGGCGTCGGGACCGCCGACGTCAGACCTGTGGCTATTTGGGTCCCGCACAAAGAACCCGACGCTGAACCGGATGCGAGACGACGATGATTGTTGTTTTTCACTCAGCCCACAGCCGACGTGTTCAGTGATTCGGGAGCGGGCCCGAACGCGCCGACAGCGTCCGAGGCATGCGACGCCAATACCGCCGTCGGCCGGCGATCGGCTCACACTGGAGGCCGGGATTCGCTAAGGACCGCTCGGAGGCTGTCGGGCGCCCGAACAACAATCCGACCGGCGGGGGGGGGGGGAGGGGCGACCGGTGGGCGGCAGGCGACCAGTGGGGGGAAGGCGACCAGTGGGGGCGGAGTGACCGGCCGCAGTCGAGTGGCCACCGGGTCGATCTAGTGATCACCTAACCGCACGGGAGTCGTGTGTCAGCCGTACGTACTGACCGTTCGCTAGTACGTACGGCCGAGCCGCGCGTACGCCAGCCGCCCGCCGCGCCGACCAGCGCGGCCCACTGCAGCTCGTCGCAGACGGGGCGTCCGCGCGGGCCGGCCGCCAACTCCACACGGCGGCCCGCGGCGGGCCGACCTCGGGCGCGGTCACCGACGGACCCGGCGGCGGACCCGGACCCGGCGTCTCCACGGCTCGGGTCTTCCCGTTCCGCCGGCTGGCACGAGCCCGCCGACGGTCCCGCGCTCAGCCGTCTCTTGGCTACGGGCCGCGGTGTCGCGCCTCAGACGCTGGCGCCGCGAGCGCAACGACAGCGGCGGCCTCCGGACCGCGGATCGTTGCGGAGCTTCCACCGGGTGAGCACATTTGCCGGGCCGCAGAGTTGTACCGCAGCGCCTTGGCACACGGCCGGTTAGACCCCTGCGGTCAATGCGTGGCTCAAGCAGGGCGCAGCGTGGCAAGCATCGCTCGCGACACGCACACGTAAGGCTCTATTGCTGCCAGGCGGTACGTATGCCGAGGGATGTTTGTGTGAGCCGTTTCCAGCCAACCTGACAGCGAGTGCCACACTGCAGCACTGTACATGGCGAGCAATGAGCGAGCGCGATGAATGGTTTGATTACATGGGCGCTTCCTTAGCGCGCACGCGGGCGCGTGTACAGAGCTGTCGTACAGCTATCGCCGCTGCAAAAACTTGGGTTTCGTCTTCCTTCTTCAGCCTGGTCACGCTGGGCGTCCTACCATAGCAGCGGGGCTTAAACATTTCGGTTGCATGTTTGAACGGCTGGCGGGCAACTCATATTGATAGTCGTCTTGATAGACTACGGAATGCAGGTCCACGGAATGCAGCGTTCTTCAACATCCCAATATTTCAGACGATTCCACCGGACATTGGCACTTTAAATGTGACTTAAATCGCGACGAAAAACCGTCCTGGATCTTAATTTAAGCATCATCGGGTACCTACATGACGTC